ATTTTTATATTATATAATTAAACTTTGGATGAAAATTTTTTTTAAAAAAACTTTTAAAGAATGTTCGTTAAGCTTTAAATCTTCAAACTTATGCTGAGCGAAGCTCAACTGATTCGCTAGCTTTATACCTTCAAACTTATGCTAAGCAAATCTTGGTCTATCCATAAGACTTTTGATAGTACGGTGTGAATATGGCCGCATTGGATTTCTACCCAATACACTAGTTTGTTTTTAAAATTCATTTTATCTAAAATAATGAAAATCGTTCATAAAATATTTATTACTTCAAAAATTTAAAAAATATTGGAAAATTATGTCTTTGGAAAGCTATTCTATGGAATTCTAGTAGATAGTAAATTAACCCACATGAAAAATAAAGTTTAAATTTGAGTGTGTGTGTGAAGTCAGCGGGAACAGGTTCTCAGATCGAGTTGAAACTTAGTCAGAATTACGTCCATATTACGTCCATTTACGTCCCGAATTTAAATATTTTCGTCCTACTTCCTACGACTGGATATACCACTTTTATTATTTGGGTATCTTTCCCGCTAACTTCACTTTTTCAGCGGGAACCAATTACGAAATTGATTTTAATCATGCATATTATGTATCAAAACTGATCTCCTAATTACGTCCGATTTCGTCCCACAAACATTTGGAATTTGATATAACCAGCACGAGTTATGGACTGTCAAAGTTTTGGACAGTACTACCAGTGGACCAATATTTTTTTCCTACAAAAACTTATCATGTTGTATATCAAAACACGTCTACTTTTTCTCAGAAGCTTAAATCTGATGAAACTATTTAAGTCCAACCTGTCAGTTTAGACTTATGGCAGTTCCAGTTCCATCTCGTATTTTATGAAAAGCAATTAAATATGTTACAACTTTTTTTACCTGATCAATATTTTGTTGCAAAATGGTGAAAATTTATCATCAAAAGGACAATATGTCCACTAAGAAATATAGGTGGATTAAATATCTCACTGTGAGGTAATAAATCCACTTACGATTTCAAGTGATCTTATTGCCCAATAATGAGATATTAAAGACGAATTATTATTATTATTATTATTATTTTATTCAAAGCTTTTAAAAGCCAGACCGTGTCATGGCATTATTACATTTTAACTATATATAATTAATAAGTTTCAATGATTTAGTAAAAATCTTTGAAGAAACTTATGAAAATTTAACAGTAATTTAAGATTCAAAGGCAAAAAATTGTTAACTGATATTCAAGATTCAAAAAAATAAAGTACAAAAATTGATCATTTGCACAATGATTCAGATTTGAAAAAAGTGTTTAAAAATTCCTTGTGCACAATATTTTTCCGACACATTAGAAAATTGAAAGTTTTTGTTAATTTATCTTGATTTGATTTATTTAGCATCTTCTACAGTCCTTAATATAAAGGAAAAACATGTTTTTACACCAAAAGTTTGTAAAAGTTTATCAAAAAATATTGTGCATGATCATATTTTGTATGAAAATTTATGTAGACTTTGATCGCAAATATCTCGAAAACGGCATCAAACGGCATGTCCCCAGTAATATGGGAGATAGATTTAAGCTTAATTAATTGATTTATATAGGTTTCAGAGAGGTCTTTGGAAGACTTTTTAACTTATGAATAGTTTAAGTTTTGTAAAACTACTCAGATTTCAATTGCATTTTAAGACTTAATAAGCAGTTTTCTTTTGATTTGGTAGTTTTAATATGCAAATCTAAGCTTAACTTAGCTAACGACAGCTAGCAAGATAAGGAAATAACAACTTAAAGTAGAGAAAATCAAAGTTTTTTTTTTCATATACAAATTGTAAACAAATTTTTGTTGAAAATAAATTAAAGATTTCTGGAGCTAGACATCAAATTGAAACGAGATATTTGCACTGAATATGCCTTAAGTTAGGATCTTTAATCTAGCATTTAAAAGATGAAGTTTAATTATTATGTTATTTTTGAATTTTTGAAAATTTTTTCCGAATCTGAATCACATATATGTGTTTGTAAACAGAAAAAGTTTGTCAACATAAAATTTAAATAATAATTTAAAGACATTAAAATTGGACTAGTGCGGATAAGCTAAGAATAAGCTAAGTGGCCGTTTTAATTATAATTTTATCAAAAATTTCAATTTTTTTTTAATATGTTTATGTTTTCCGGTAAAAGCACTATTATTAATTATGTTTTCCGTTTCATTTTAGATGTGAAGTTGTTGTGAGTAGGCGTGAACCAACGGATGATCTAGCAGAAACCTTTCAGATACTCGTTTGAAAAGCATTTTGATATGAATGTCTCGTTCCTTATATGGCATCGAAGCGCCCATTTGAATGCAGCTGGATATCTCAGTTCTTTAAGGTCAGTAGGCAGTGAATTAAATATTTTTACACCTTGTGAGGTGATCGCTTTGTGCCCGTAATTTTTATGAGACATAGATTCTTGTAACTCCATCAGATGACTTGATCGTCATCGTTGAGTGTTTCTTGTGAATTTTATATTAAAATGAATTGTTCTATGAATATTCCTGTATATATAAGTGGCAGTTAAAACGTAATTCAATCCTCTTATAGAAAGACAGTTCTCGGTTAAGTGAGAATACATTTCAACTCTATTGTGACGTCTATCTAAACCAAAAACACTTCTTAGTGCTCTATTTTGTATAGATTGGAGAGGTTTAATAATATTATCACGTGCAGTTCCCCAGATAACATTCTTATATAATTTTATTCCTTAATTTCCATATCATTCCTGCACATGATGAAAGTTTAGTTTCCAATTGTTTGCAATGTTCATCAAACTTCAGATGTTCATCTAAAACGAGACCAAGATATTTTGACGTACTTGTCCTCTTCATCGTAAAATGTTCATTAATCAAAATCTCATCTGCATCATTAAAATTTTTGAAATGGGGAATGAATTATCAAGTGAAGACAAAAATCCCACATACAAATGAAAGTGATTTTTTTACCCGCACGTGAAAATAATTATTTCACCTTAAATTTTAATTTTGTGTAAGTGGACTTATTGTCTTGCAGTGAAAATATTAAGACCACTTGAAAAATTAAAATTTTATAAGTGGCCTTATTGTCACTCCATGATTATTCATTTTTCGGGTTTATTATCCTCTAGTGTTGTGGACTTATTATTTTTCGGTGCAATTGTCTAGCCCCCATAAGTCTAGATTCAAATTGTACCTGGACTTAAAAACCTCTAATGAAGTTTATAATTCAAGCTGTATTTGTACTTATCAACTGAGTGTGAGGATTATAAGTCCAGATACATTTTTCTGGACTTCTAATCCTTGAAAACTATTTGAACTTATTAGGTAACCAGTTGTTTAATTTCCTTTAGTTATTTATCGTTATGGCATTTTTAATATTGGACATAACTTAACAAGGATTTCAGATTTTTTGGAGTATCTGTTATTGAACTTTCGACCCTTAAAGTTGAACATCATAAAAAATCACCATCACTGGTATTTACTGAGTCTTAAATGTACATAGCAGCTGATCCGTTTAGCACCTTTTAGAAGCATTTTGAATCAGCGATTTAAAATAAATCAATCAGAAAAAGAAAGATGAAAATTTTTTGACTTCATGGCATACATTCTCACTTTTACTCATGGCACCAGTTGGGTTTCGATCATTTAAGTATATCAGATAATCATATGATAGATCAGGAGCAGGACAAATTTTACATTTGTGTATACTTCAAACATAATGCTTGTAACGAACATTTGATGTTTACTTTTCTACTTTTAACTCTAAAGGGATGGTACAACAGATCTATGATCGAAGTGCCTTTTCGTGTATAACAAACCCTATACCTAATTCTTCTAAATCTTCTAACCTAATTAGTGACTTTGATTTTCTTGACTTATAATTTTCTGTTCAAGATTTTTGGCATTTTTAGCATCGAGCAACTATACACTAAACTTTTCTTGCTCAAATTTAGCAACGAGTAGAAATAAAATTGCTAAAGGCTTGTAATACAATATTTCCTGAAAACTTTAATACTACTCAACTAAGTTTTTATATTTAAAAAAAAATTTGTGTATAAGATTGTGAAGAAGGCAATAGAAATGTTGAGATTTTATTATTTAGTATTTTAATAAACAAGATTTATTCACTTATAAATTTGTTCATATTTAGTAGCCCCAAATTAGGGGCATTAAAGATCACTATAAAAGAGAATCGAAAGAAAGATTCAACTACCTATTCTTTGGAATTGATAAAAAGTTTCATTGAGAGATTTACAAATATTTTTGTTACGAAGTATCAACAAACTCGACGTAATAAGAACGTACAGATTAGAAGAAGAAAGAAAAAAAGATATTAAATAGGTAATATTAGCATGTGAAAAATTTATGATAATTTTGGCATTTTAAATTAAATGATATGATATCCAAAATAAAATCAGAGAATTTAAGTCCAAGTGAAAAATGAAAATTTGTCAAAAATGCAGAAATCATAATAATGTGAATTATTTGACTTAAAAATTTTATTGTGAAGTTTCGGTGAAAAGAAATTTTAAGCAAATATTCTAAATACGCATCTACAAAAAGCTGCAGTCTTAAAATTTTCAGTAGAAAAAATATTGAAAGTAAATAACTTCAAAAATATTAAGACAAAAATAAAATGATTTTAAAAATAAGGAGAAAAGAAGAGACACATAGGTTTCGTTAAGTACACATATTTGTCGTCTGGCATGACTAAATGGTTGTTTGCGAATAACTCGAAATATTTTACGAAATTATGACCAATTCTCTCAATTTAAATATCTATTTTAATTAAAAGATTCCAATATCGACCAAATATGGTTTGCTTTCATGGTTAAAACTTAATGATATTAATACAAAAAAAATATATCGTTTTCTTTCTTTCTAGCTTTTTGTTTAATTTTTTAGAAAATTAAACAATAATATTTTCTATACTCTTATTGTATAAATTGACGATATTTAATAAAGTAGGAGAAAAAATTAAGACTACTAAAAAATGTCACTTGCATCAACATCAATTGACTCAAGTCAACTTCCCGACTTGATTTCTAAAAATATTGATGTAAATTCTCGTCAAATTATTAAAGAAGGTTGGCTTTACAAACGTGGTGAACACATTAAGAATTGGCGATCACGATATTTTATTTTGCGTTCAGATGGTTCTCTTGTTGGGTACAAAAATCGACCAGATGCATCAATTCCTTCAGAACCTTCAAATAATTTTACTGTTGCACGATGTCAAATTATGTCTGTTGATCGACCTCGTCCATTTACTTTTATAATTCGTGGATTGCAATGGACTACAGTTATTGAAAGAATGTTTTATGTCGAAACGGAGCATGAAAGGGCTCAGTGGGTTGAAGCTATAAGGTAACACATTATATTTTTAAATATGTATCTTTTTTCTGCTAATTACAAAGAATATATTCTTTTTAGGAGTGTTGCAAATCGTCTAAGTGAAATTGATCAACAAAAACAGCAAGCTGAAATAAATGAAGACGTAGAAATGGTTCCTATTGCAGAAGACGCCTTATTAAATGAAAAATTTTCTCTGCAAGGAACTTCTACTGGAAAAGTGAGCGGAAGAAGGAAAGTTGTAAGTTTTGATTTAAAAGTCTTATGCTGATAGAAAAAATTTAATCAATAACTATACAAAATATTTAGACATTGGAGAACTTTGAGTTCTTGAAAGTTCTTGGAAAAGGAACATTTGGGAAAGTCATTTTGTGTCGTGAAAAAATTACTGCAAAATTATATGCTATCAAGATTTTAAAAAAAGAAGTAATCATTCAAAAGGACGAAGTAAAGCACACGATGGCAGAAAATCGTGTATTACAAAGAACAAATCACCCATTTTTAATTGTACGTAATTTGTTTTTTTATAATTGACTGTTCCTTAATTAATATTCTTTTTTTAAGTCGCTGAAATATTCATTTCAAACTAATGAACGTTTGTGCTTTGTTATGGAGGTGATTTTTGGAATTATTTTGTTATTTTTTGTTTTTTGAACTTTAAATCTGACTATTTTCCATTTTAGTATGTAAATGGTGGAGAATTATTCTTTCATTTGAGCCGTGATAGAATATTTTCTGAAGAACGAACTCGATTCTACGGTGCAGAAATTATTTCAGCGCTTGGGTAATGATCTTGCTAATAATTTTTAATTAAAAACAATCACTTTAAAACTTAATTTTTTCGTTTTTTATTTAAATAGATATTTGCATTCGCACAACATAATTTATAGAGACTTGAAACTGGAAAATCTTTTACTTGATAAAGATGGTCACATAAAAATTGCCGATTTTGGTCTATGTAAAGAAGATATTACATATGGACGTACAACAAAAACTTTTTGTGGTACTCCCGAATATCTAGCACCGTAAGACAATTACATTGTTACTAAAAGTATTTATAAATTTATTAAATATTCGTTATTAATTTATTAATAGTGAGGTACTTGAAGATAACGATTATGGAAGGGCAGTTGATTGGTGGGGAACTGGTGTTGTTATGTATGAAATGATATGTGGAAGATTGCCATTTTATAATCGCGACCACGATGTTTTGTTTACATTGATAATGGTTGAAGATGTAAAGTTTCCTAGAAATATATCAAGTGATGCAAGATCTTTGCTGAGTGGATTTTTAGAAAAGAACCCACAAAAGCGTTTAGGCGGAGGTCCTGATGACGTGAGAGAAATCATGGCTCATGCATTCTTTGCAAACATCAATTGGGCTGATTTGGTCAATAAAAAGATTGTTCCACCGTTCAAACCACAAGTTACCTCAGATACAGACACACGATACTTTGATTCGGAATTCACAGGAGAGAGTGTAGAATTGACTCCACCTGATCCTGGAGTACAGTTGCAATCCATTCAGGAGGAGCCTCACTTTTCACAAGTATGTAACATACCATTTTTAATTTTAGTAGAATAATTTAAAAATATTTTTCATTCATCCACACTTTATAGTTTAGTTACCAGGACCTAAATTCATACATGAGCAATTCAACATTGGCATCGTTACAATAGATTATTTCTTTTGGATCATCTTTTTACGAGATATACTAAGATGTAAATATATGTAAATGAGTAGACATGCTTTTAAAAAATGAAATTTAAAACGTTCAAATTTGTCATTTTTACAGAATCTCCTGAAAATTACAGAAAATTACTTTTAGGATAAAAGTTTTTTTGCTTAAAAAAAACTGTGATAATTTTATGAACTGGTAAAGTTTACCATTTAGATTAATAGAAGAGAAAAATGGAATTATTCTGAAATATTATGGACTATCGAAGTAATATACGAAGAAAAATAACTCTTCGAGTAAAATTACTGAGAGTTTGCTTGTTTATTATTAATAAAAAAATAAGTACGTTACTGCCACAAAGCTTTCAACAAAAATATCAATAATCACCATCAATATGCCAAAACATTTTTTGAATGATTAAAAATAGCATGCAGAATGGTAGTATTTAACAATCGAAAATGGTGCTCAAAAAGCATTTGTCTTATGATAAAATGTTATTAACAAAGTTTTAACGCAAAAGTGAAAGAAAAACGACAAATTCCTCCTAAATTAAAGCATAAATCCCAAATGTTTTGACTTCAAATTAAACAGAAATAACTGATTATTTTCAATGCATTTTCCTGCTCTAATGATATGATTTTGAAAATAAAAATTCAATTTAAAGTATTTAAACAAACAAAATAAGGCAAGATCAAAAACTTGTAGTGACGCTCAGCAAAAATTTTGAATTTCTGAATCATTAATTTAAGTTATATATGTGGAAAAGACTTGTGTTTTTCTTGTAGTGGTCAAGACTCCCAAAAACTGGGATAAAAAGATTCACTTGGAATTAGGACTTTAATTTAAAGTGCTCAGCGTCACCAAAAAAATGTAAGGGAAGTCGATTTTACACTATGTTGCGAATTTGCAATATCTCTGTAACGCATTCAATAAGCATAGAAATTATTTGTATCAGGGACGAAGCCAGAAATTATTTAAGAACTAGCTTTGTTCAAAAAAAAAAGTTTACAAATATGATTGTCTTTATGCATAATTATGTTTCTATTTAACATAATTATGTTTAAAAGAAAATTTCAAAATCAAAATTTAATTAACAAAGTTACAGTGACTTTTAGTAAACTTGTCTCTATTCGTTGCTGTCTTGTTATTCTAATTATCTATTAATTTAAAACTATAAGGCTACATTAGATGCATCTCGTGGCAAAAAATTACATAAATATAAATGCGATGCTCATTCGAAATTAAAATGTTTTATTTTTTTTTTGTTAAATTAACTCATTTCTAAGGCATTTCTGGATTCAATTACAAAGGAAAGTTACTTTTTATATACTTAACAATAGTTAACTGGTAATCAGAGAAAAATAATTTTTCAACAAATTGATTTTTAGTCAATTAAACTAAATCTATTGTGTTTTTTTTAAATTAAACTAATGAATTAATAAGTCGCCATTTTCGACCTTTGAAAAATCATAGAAACTGGATGCTGGCAAGCAGAGAAATCAGCATTTGGAGTCCTTTTTTCTGATCTTGCCCAATAATATGTGTACACATGATTAATTTAATTTCCAATAATATAATTTTATTTTTACGTAATCATTAAGGATATAATTTGTAATTAATATTGTTTTCCTGATAAATAAAATGCTTTAATGTTATTCTCAAACCATTCTTGTACATTAATTTAAATAAATAATACAAGGCATCAATAAATTTTTAAAGATATTTTGCTGAAATTTGGAGCTTTTAATGAAATAAGGTAGGTGCAATAAACGAACATCTAAACACTCAGAATTTTATTTTTTTTTTTTGTTGCAATATGTTTAAAACGGTTGATTTTTGAAAAGAGAAGAGCATGTGGAATAAAAAGCGCTTTTTGCATAGTAGTTTACAATATTTATAGTCGTGGTCGAACGATATAGTATATATAAAAAAAAAATACTTTTTAAAAAATATGAACGATAAAATAATTATGAATATGATAGAGTATTTCACTTTCCTTCGAGTGTTATAGTGTTAATTTGTAAAGATCTACCAAAATAATTAGATTATAAGTTCATTTATTTTGCTTTAATCTTATTTTTTTCATCTAGAAAATTTTTAAGACGAGAGATTTTTTTTGTTTTGTCTCTCAATATATTTTCTTTACATAACTTAGTGTTCACTAAATTGAAGAAGAGCAATAGAATTTCAGTTTTTAATAATAGAATATCGAGAAAAAAATGCGAGTCGTTGGATTGATTTCAGGTGGCAAAGATTCTACCTTTAATATGATGAATTGTCAAGCTGAAGGACATCAGGTAACAGTTTAAATAATATTTATATTTTTTTTTAATTCGATATATTACTTGCGAAACAGATTGTAGCTTTAGCAAATTTACATCCAGCTGACAAAGGTATAAATAAGTAATGTTTAAAAAAAATCCATTAATTAAAATTAGTATTCTGTCCAAAAGATGAACTGGATAGCTACATGTATCAAACTGTTGGACATATGGGAATTGAAAAGTTTGCTGAAGCTATGGAACTGCCTTTATACCGAAAAACGACTTCTGGCAAAACAGCACAAAAAGGCAAAAATTATGAGCCATTAGACAGTGATGATGAAGTTGAGGATCTTTATGAACTTCTCAAAGAAGTGAAAGTAAGCTAATCGAGACAAAATAAAAACTATAAATCCTTATTTGTTTTTTTTTTTTTTAAGGAGAAAGAAAATGTCGAAGCGGTTGCAATTGGTGCAATTTTTTCTGATTATCAACGTGTTAGAAGCGAAAATGTGTAAGATATATTTTAATTTCGGCAATTGTAAAAATTGTTTACATATATTCATCTCTTAATAGATGTTCACGTCTAAAATTACAAGCTTTTACATATTTGTGGCGTCGGGATCAAGCTGAGCTTTTACAGGAGATGATTGATTGTCATATTGATGCGATAATTATAAAGGTAAACATGTAATCCTCATGTCGTGTAGTGAACAAATGATTATTAGTATTATTTGTGTGATGAGAATTTAAATGTCTTTTATTGTGTTAGGTCGCTTCACTGGGTTTAACGCCGGAACGACATTTAGGGAAATCGATTCGAGATATGCAAGTACATTTGGTAAAGATGCATGAAAAGTATGGCTTAAATATTTGTGGAGAAGGCGGAGAATATGAGACTTTTACACTAGATTGTCCCCTTTTCAAGAAAAAGATTGTTATGTATGCTCTAATATTTTTTTTTATCAAACTTTATTGCTTTAATGATTTTAATTTTAGTGATGATGATCAAGTTGTAATAAGCTCATCAGATCCTGTTTGTACTGTTGGATATATTAATTTCACAAAAATTCATCTGGAGCCAAAACTACCATCAGAGTTTGGAAATTATGTGATAAAGTCGTCTTTGGATTTCATAAGTGAACTGAATTCTTCATCATACAGTGATCTTAGCGATCCTGATTTGACTGATACAGAGCTAGAGTTTATTGAAAAAGGCAACTTTGGTAAGTTGTGTTCCTCAAAAAGTCTTCCAGAAACGTTTTCAAAAAGTCTTTGCTCCGAAGAAATGAGACACTGCAGCATCGAAGATATTCCTGAAGTTAAATTTGAATATGAAACGGAAAAACTTCAAAATGAAGCACATCTTGTATCTAATTCAAAAGGTTGGCATTGGATTTCGAGTATTCATGGTAAGTTAAATATCTTCTAATAGAGAAAATAAAGATTAAATGCATTAATATTAAAGGCGAAGGAAAGACAACATATGATGGAATTAATGATGCAATGAGACGACTGGATGGTACACAATCTTTTACAATCATTAATGCTATTAATTAGATTATCATAATTTCCTATTATAGAAATAATTCAACAAAACTCAATAAGACTTCAAGATCTCTGCTATATTACGCTTTACGTACGAAACATTGATGATTATGAAGTTCTTAATGATGTGTATAGTGCGAAACTGAATTTTCAAAATCCACCTCCCCGCGTTTGTGTTGAAACATGCTTACCCGAAAAATGTCACGTCATAATGGAAGCAGTTGCATTTAAGAGCGGTTTAAATAATGTCAATGAGGCTGATTATAAGCGACAATCAATGCACGTCCAGGGAATATCTCATTGGTCGCCTGCAAACATTGGTCCTTATTCACAATCAACAAGTATAGGAGAAATCACATACATCAGTGGACAAATTGGTCTTATACCAGGCAACATGAAGATAATAAATGGTAAGAACCTAACAAAAAAAAAAATAATTAAGGTAGTAGAATCTACAAAAATTAATAATAAATTACTTTACAGGTGGTATAAAGAATGAATGTAAACTTACTCTTCGACATATTAATAGAATTGCAAAAGCGATGAATTCTAAGGGACAGTTAAGAGACGTTGTACAAGGTGTTTGTTTTTTAACTCATCCTAATTATATCTCGGAAGCTCGTCGACAATGGGTAAGTCCCTGTTTTTAAAAAAAATTCAAAAGTCCTCGTGTTATTGGATTTCGAAATTTTGAAATTCGGTTTTCTAATACCCTATTTTACACGTTAGAAGCCACTCCTCGTTAATAAACCAGTAACTTGATAAAGAAAATTGGATCAGAAAAATTTTCTTTTCCGTTATTAAGCCACTACTAATTTTTCGTTAAATAAACTTTATAAAATAATTTAAAAGTGATTTAATGGTAGGAATTAATAGCTTGAATGTTTTCAAAATAGTTTGGACTTAAAAATTTAAAGATTTCAATTAAAATTATAAATTTTTTTGAAATTAACTTCTTTACATTGATTAGGAACGTCGATCAGCAAATGCTATTATGGATTATATAGTTGTTCCGGCTTTACCAAGAAAGTCACTAGTAGAGTGGCAAGTTTGGATACACAACTACAACAACAAATTTGAATGTTAGTACACGATAAATTTATTTTATTAAAACTTATAAAGCTTGTATTTTGCTTTAGATGAAGAAACCGGCTGCTCAATTAACAATCAATATGTTCTTTCTCTAAGACGCCGTTGGAATTATGAAAACAATTGTGCTGCAGTTATTTGTTACGTTTCAACTGGTAATAAAATTCCCTTTTTTTTATATAAAAGAAAATTCTTTCATATAAAAATCTTACATTTAAGGACAAACAACATCTTCAACAAAATTGACTGATATGATGGAAGAATGGAAACAACATCATGAAGAATTAACAAAAAAACTCTCACAAAGTCATGTATTGGAAGTCATGAAATATGTTCTCAATAAGATTATGCAGGGATATTCTGTAAATAATGAAAATATTCCTGGAATTCATTTTCGTATATTTTATCAAGTCACACCATCCTTTCCATCTTTAGGAAATTTGATTATTTCATCATTAACATTGTTTAAAGAATCGACAAAAACAGCTCGAATTGCTTTTACGGTAATTCCTGCTTGCTTTTTGCACAATTTTGGTACATTCATTTCAATTTGTGGAGTCCGTCACGAGTAGTTAAATTGTTGAAGAAAATCATTTTGTTTGTTTGGTCTTTCTTTCATGTATTTTTTTTACGATACATTACTTTTAAGCGAATACATAATTTAAGCGAAAAAGTCTTGAAGAATATAGCACTATAGTTTTTTAATAAAAAAATAAAAAATATTAAGGCAACATTAAATTATTGTGACGATTTCCTTATTAATAGACATGTGGATAATGATCATATGTCTTTAAACGATATGTAGCCAGAAGAACAATCAAAACTAAATGTTATCTTTGCAAAAATTTAATTTGTTTTTTGAAGATTTCAAACTTTATCGGCAAGAGCTGAAGCTAGGTAGAGGCAGACTAAACAAATGAAAATTTAAAATTAGTACTGTACTATCGAATTTAAAAAATTATTGTTTACAATTGGCAGTATATATATATATGATAAAAGATTCTTTCTTATCGTGTGGGTTGCATATTTTTTTTTGAACATTTTAGTATATTCTCACTGTTTTCACGTGTGAATCGATTGGTTTTGTTCAGATTGAAAAATCAGTTTTTCGCATTTTGCGAGGAAATGCAGCAAAATTGGTTATAAAATGTCCCAGAAGAAAAGTTTGTGCCTGAAATTTTACATCATTTGCAAAAAACAGATTTCAAAATTGGTTGCGGCATTGCTGAGAAAATAGCAAAATACGCTTTCTGTAAGCAAGCAAACAAGTAAACAAGCATGCAAGTTAATCAGCAAGAAATCTCAATAACGAAACATCGTAGAGACTTCTAGTTTTTTACATTTGATCCGTGCTGCTCTATAGAAGAGCTGTATTGTTTTTGGGCAAGGTAGGAACATCCGTTGCTTCAAAAAAAGCAAAAAACTTCCCTTTCTTACGAATTTTTAAAAACAAAAGTTGACTAGCTTTATACCTTCAAACTTATGCTGAGTGAAGCTCAGCTGATTCGCTAGTTTTATACCTTCAAACTTATGCTAAGCAAATCTTGGTCTATCCATAAGACTTTTGATGGTACGGTGTGAATATATCCACATTGGGTTTCTACCCGATACACTAGTTTTAATTAAAATGTGGTTGCCAAATAGCTAATAAAACGCTTTTTAAATAAATTATTACAATAAAAAATGGTCTACAATATTTTACCCCTTTTACCCAAATCAGATATTATTTCTGTGCTGTTTTAATCTTCACAAAAAATATTGTAGCTCACAATAAAGATAATAGCTGTTAATAGGTATCTTGGTATGATTTTACAACTCTGATTTACTTTTTTCACGGAAATTCCAAACTACTCTTGATTGACGTCGGACGAAATCTAAGGTTTAAGCACTACACATATATATTAAAATATAAAAAAAAAAAAAAATCAAAGTATCAACAATTTTAGAATTGAATTATTATTTGAAAATATATTAAATATATTAAGCTATTTTTGCATTAAAATCTCAAAACTGTGTTCTTATAGATTTTATATCTTCAAATTAAGCAATTGCTTCTTAATATTTCATTTAAAGTGTCTAATCCTTGTGATTATTTCTTCGGTTTTACAAAAAAGATTAAAAGAATATTTCAAATCTATTGTTGAGTAAAAATGTCTGTAACAGTAAAACTACCAAAGTTACAAGAAGGTCAAACGTCGTATGCTGGAATTCCTCCAGCAGTCTTTGTGGTAAGTTGTTGTAAAAGAATATTTCTCTCCCTAAATGTTACTAATGTTCAGACTTTAACCAAAAACAAATGTTTTTAATTAATCAATTTTCGGATGTATTAATATCTTTTTGCAATAGGATGATGTTGACCAATTTATGAGTTTGCCGGAAAATAATCATCAAGCTGAGAAAGTTTTAAAGTCTCTTGATGAGCAGCATAGCAAATATAAATTCATGGAAATGAGCATGGTTTCTCGCAAAAGACGACTAAGGCAGCAAGTTCCAGACTTGCAGAAATCACTTGAGATGATTAAGGTTTTGAAAGAACAAGAAGACGATGAGCTTGAAACTAATATTTTATTAAGCGAACAAGTTTTTGTCAAATCTATTGTACCAAAAACGGAAACCGTTTGTTTATGGCTTGGAGCAAATGTAATGCTCGAATATCCATTAGATGAAGCTGAAGAGCTCTTGAAGCAAAATCTTGAATCAGCCAGTATGAATCTTAGATGTTTAGAGCACGATCAAGTAAGTTTTTTTTTAATATTAAACCTCATTAGAGATGTTCTCAATCAAGTTCACTTTTTATTAGGAATTTTTAAGAAATCAACAAACAACAGTAGAAGTAGCAATGGCTCGCATTTACAATTGGAATATTTCAAAGCAGAAACAACAGCAGAAATGAATTTAATTTACCTATGTTCATTTTCATGATTTCTATGCTAATTTATTACTAATCAAAAGGCGCGTTTTTCATTTTCACTATTTCACTTTCGATATATGTACTACTATCGCAGCAAGTATGCATAATAAAAATCACATTTTCTATCCTGTGGGAATCATGTACTTGAAACGATATACCTTTATCATTTTTCTTTGTACATTAAAAGATTTTATTTTCAGATATTATCTTTCTTTTTATTGGCATTAAGTGGAATGGAATTCATTTAATATTCTTAAATTATTAATGGACGGCTTCTTATTTTATAGCACGCAGTTTGATGGAAACCAAGTAAAAAAAAACTATCAGAGACATTTACTTAAATACCATCAAACGTAAGTCAATCTTAATTTAAGGTAATAAATTAATAACAATAAATAAATAAATAAGTTAATTAATCAAATTATCGTCGGTCGCTGTCATTAATAAATTACTGTTGGGTAGGATAGGTTCTTGTGGTAAGAGAAGAAAAAAATGCTTTTTATTAAACACGTACGTCCACGTTGATGTTTTAAGCTATCAAACCAAGACTTTCTGTCAATGACGGAACTTTTATATCATCTTCGTCTTCATCTTTTATGGAATTTCTGACACTTGTGTTTTCAGCTTCAATATTTGTACTTTCTTGATTTTTCTCTTCATCTGATATAAAATGGCAAGCGACAATAAATGAAATTTATCGAGGATCAAGGTTTTTTAGTTACCACCATCATCATCATCATCATCATTATCATCATCATCATCATCTACAAATTTAATAATTAAAATGTGTTTGTTTCAGTTTGAAATTTCACTTAAGTAAAGAAACCTCGAGTTTCAGTTTTTAACGAATATCTTCGAGCGTTTAAGGTTTATAAGGGATATAAAGCGTGATCTAGGTACCCTTATACTACTCTAATAACTCGTTGACTTTGAACTTTAGGTAGAGATTTATTATAGAATAGATAGAAGGACTACCTACGTTGCAATGTAATATGACAAGTGAAATAAGTTCCACACCAATTTGGTGCCGTTCACTTATTACGTTCGCATTTTAGGGGGGAGGGGGTTTGAAAAATTGTAACAAAATGTAACATAAGGGGGGGGGGGGTGTCAAGAAATATGTAACGTTCTAACTGTAGTCTGTCTTTCAAAAAAAAGTTCACGAAAAAAATTTGTTTACAAATTCACACCAAAAACATTTTTTAAAATTTTCCACCTTTTTGGGGGGGGGGGGGGGGGGGGGTTGTGAGTTGAAACATATTGTAACAAGGGGGAGGGGGGGTGAAAAAAGTCTTTTTTTTCCGTAACGTAATAAGTGGACGGCCCCAAAGCAAAACTTTTTAATTTAAAAAATTCCAAATTTCATCTAAGTTCAATTTTTTACTAAGCTACTACTCGTTAGGGGCTGTTCACTTATTACGTAACGCGAAAAAATGACTTCTTAGACCCCCCCCCCCCCCCCCCTCGTAACAAAATTTGTATGAAAAAAAAAATTCCTTGTTTGAACCGTAACAAAATCTTAGACCCCCCTCCCCCTAAAAGCGTTACGTAATAAGTGAATGGCCCCAAAGCAAAACTTTTTAATTTAAAAAAATCCAAAAATTTCATCTAAGTTCAATTTTTTACTAAGCTACTACTCGTTAGGGGCTGTTGAACCGTAACAAAATCTTAGACCCCCCTCCCCCTAAAAGCGTTACGTAATAAGTGAATGGCCCCTTACTTATAACGAGAAAACTGAGTGTGTAGAATTGTCAAGCCTGGTGCATTCTATTATAAACAAAATTAGAAATACCACACAAAATACCTCAATCTTAAAAACTGCCAAGATGCAGATGGTACTGCTAAAGTGCAGATGAAATGCTGTTGCTTTAAAAAAGGTATAATGCAGATGATTTTTAACGTATAAAGTGCAGATAAAATGCTGCCCAGGTGTAGATCGTATAATTTTATTAAAATAAAGATGAAATGCTGGTATAATGTAGATAATTTAACGTTGGAAACTAATTTTTTGGGCCCCGACGAAAAAAAATATTCGTGAGTGACGCTATGATTTCTTAAATATCTCCAAAACCACAATAGTGACAAATTTCAAAGTTATTTTATCTTGTAGAAAACAAAAATTGCTTTCTTTTGTCATAGAACATCCTTCCTTAAGTTAAGGAGTTATGTCGCAAAATCACTTTAATTAAGCGTCACTCACGAATAATTTTTGTGAATTTTGTTATAACTTTGTCAGCTTTCATCTCGAACAAAAACATAAAGACTTGTTTCATTGAAAAATCAAAAATAAAACAATTGATATATAAACAAATGTATTTTTTATATTCACACCGTTTTCACGTGTGAATCTATTCATTATGTTCAGATTGAAAAATCAGATTTTCGCATTTTGTGAGAAAACGAAGCAAAATAAAAAGGTTATAATCGTTATAAAAAGTCCAAGAAGTAAAGTTTGTACCTGAAATTTTACATCTTTTGCAAAAATCAGTACTGACTCGCTAGCTTTAAACCTTCAAACATATGCTGAGCAAAGCTCAGCTGACTCGCTAGTTTTATACCTTTAAATTAATACTGAGCTAAGCTTGGTCTTTCCACGAGACTTTTTATAGTATGGTGCGAATATATCCGCATTGGGTCTCTACCTGATACACTAGTTTTGTTATTAAAAAAGTTACAGGAAAACAAAAATGCATTTTTGAATACATTGCAAACTTTATGACTTCAAATTACTTTGCATCACTTTGCTACACGAAATTTCGATGTAATTAGTCGATATGTAACATTTTTGCAAGATATATAGATGAGCTCATACAAAGGATACTCGACACAATATATACATAAATATGTCGTCAGACAAAATAATAACCCTTAAATTTAAGTCTATCATAAGAAGAGAAAAGAATCAAATGATCATCATGGATCATTTAAAGTCATTAACACGCATCAAGAAAAAAGTCATCGAATATTGATGTATTTTAATAAAATTATACGATCGACATTTAGGCAGCATCTTATCTGCACTTTATACGTAAAAATCATCTGCATTATACTTTTTTAAACCCACAGCATTTCATCTGCATTTTAGGGGAAAATAAATTTCATCTGCACTTTAGCAGTACCATCTGCATCTTGGCAGTGTTATCTCCATTTTAGAGTAGCTGCATTTTCTATAAAACTGAAGCGAATAATCCACTTTAGTGAAATTGGTCGTCTTTATTTTTTACATACCGTCTTCATCGTTTTCTGGCTTTGCCTCATCTCTCAATAACTCTACACTTTCATCATCATCTGAAAACAGTTTGTTCTTGTTATTTATTCAATAAAACAAAAATACTATTACCATCATCGTCTTCAGCGTCATCAAATGTTAGTGTATTAATGATTCCTTCAAGAAGACCTTCCTCTTCCGATGTTGCTTTAGTTGGTGTTACAACTGCAACATCAGCAGTAGGCGGTTGAGAAATAACTTCACTAGCCAAAGTTTCTACTGGTGCCGTTGAATCACTTTCGATATTAGACACAATCTCATTTATTGATTCATTTTTTTCTGGTACTAAAGGCATGATTGTTTCCGCTTCAACAGCAAGTTCTGCTAATTTTTCATCGCTTTGACTAACATTTTCAACCGTGGATACAATTTCATTTGCTTCTACAGGAACTGCGTCTACTAAAGTAATTAAAGGTGTTTTTACTGGCTCGAGTACAGCAGGTTTATCGGCAGCAATGGGAGCAGATGTCACAAGTGAGGCTACAACTGATTGAATTGGTGCTACTGTTGGTTTCTTTGTCGTTTCATCCTCTAAAATATCAGCAAAGAAGTCTCCTCCAAAACCACCAAACAAAGCTTTTATAAAGAATTACTTTATTAGTGCTTTGTGCATTTAAACAAAAAATTTTTTTCAACTTACTCTCTCCTTCGTCGTCGTCTTCATCTGAACATGTTTTGTCATAAAATTATTATGATTTTTTAATCAGTTGAGGTATAGAAAATATACATAAAAATCAGTACATACCATCATCATCATCAACAACTAAAAGGAAAATGAATAAACTGAATAATTTTTTTATATAAAAGAGTTTTTTTCAACTTACTTAAATCTAATACATCGTCATCATCGTCATCATCTTAAAAATTTAAGTATTAATTAGAAATTAGAAGAAAATAAAAGAAAAATACTGGAACTTACCGTCCTCAGCAGGTGTTGACTGTGGTTTTTTAGCTGGTTCTTTTTGTGCTTCAACAGCAGGTGTCTCATCATCATCATCATCATCGTCATCTTTAAAAAATTTAATAAAATTATTTCATATGCCACAAAAATCTTACACATACCTGCTAATGCACTTAAAAGGTCAATATCAGATTCAGTCTCGTCGTCTTCATCTGCTTCATCTTAATAAAAAAAAAAAAATCATAAAACTTTGAATTAATTGATCCAGCAGTTATTTTTTTTAAAAAAAAAGAAACATTACCGTCATCACCAGCAATTAGTCCAAGAATATCATCGTCTGTTTAAATGCCAAAAAATAAAATAATTTTATAACTAGCTGTAATTTCATTTAAAACTACTAAAAGTTAAATCTACCGTCATCGTCTTCATCTGCCTCAGGCTTGACGGAAGCAATTGCTGGATTTGCTGCTTCTACTGCTTGCCTCACATTAGACTTTATTGCTCTCGATTCTACGTGATCAATAGATGTAATTTAATTCATAGTGATTTAAATTTTATATTTGCCAATTTTTATATTATTACCTGAAAGAGGTTTTGCAGCACCATAAGCGATAATTATGAGTATCACCAAAAGTTCAAGAATGAATGTGATTTTCATGATTAAATTAATAGTTTATGAGTATCAAAAAGTTTCTCTATAATAAAAAAAAAAAGAAATGTATTTAAGTTTCGAACACATGCAAACATCATTTCGAAGGAAAAAAAATCATGAATGATTGTGAAAATTTGAAGAAGAAACGGGAACATCATCGTTAATTTATTTAGGTTAATATATTCAGTCAATTTAACAGTCTTCTGTAGAAGAAATTTAAATATTTTTTTTCTTCTCATATTCTTCTTAATGCCTTACCAAAAAGTAATTACTGTTATCATTATTTCTTAAAATCTTGAACATTTATTTGTCATCTACACAATTAAGCAAGAAAATGTGCATTTTATCGACACAGTGGCTTGATTTTAAACGCGTACTTCAAAAATATAAAACTAAAATTTCACTTTTTACTAAATGCATGCGTAGACGACAAGAACAAGTAACAAGTTTAAGGTAACGCAGTTATTAAGTGCCGGTGAAAGTGTCAATGACTCTTATCTTTTTCTCTGTAGCCAAGTATTAAAAACGAAATTGAATTTAGTGTATTTATAGTTAAAATCGTTAAGATGATATATGTAAAAAAAACTGTGCATAACTGTCCACAAGTTAATTTTCTTCGCTCTCTCTTATTTTTTGTAAAATTCCTATTGATTTTAACAAATCATAAACGTAAAATTTTTCAAACGATCTTTTTATCTCCTTTTTTCTTTTTTTTTTGTCTACACGCGCTTATGTTTAGATGCTGGACAACCAGTAATACAAAGAGTCAAGCCAAAAGTAGGACAAAGAAATTTTATAAGATAAATATTAATCGCATGCGTTCGAAATTTTTTTGGAAAATGTTTACAATAAATGGATAAGTGGTAATAAAGATGTAAATGTTGAACTACTTCAGTCTGTATAAAAAATTTATATTTCGTGTCAGATACGCGAGAATATCAGAAGTCATTTTGAAGATTTAGAAAGCTTTTTTTCATGTTTGTTTCAATCATAAAAATTGAGAGTGAAATTTATTTACCACATGAAATTTTGATTTTAGAGCCATAGGAAATACAGGGTACACGATGTTAACATCGTGTTCTTTTCTTCCTTAGCAATTAATTAACAGGAACTTACTTTTTGAAATGCAAAAATTCAAAAGGTTTACAACAAAAATTTGTAAGAAAATTATAAGTAGTTGCTTTAACTTAGGACTTAAATGTACTCTTATTGGTAGTATGATTGATAAATTACGACCTTAATAGAAGAAAACAACCAGAAATTCAAACACCACTGATAACTTAAATTGGTTTGCATTTAAAATTTTACTTTTGAAATTATATGATAAATTATGAAGTATGTAGATTTGAATTCTTGAAAAACTCACATAATATTATAACTCATTTTTTTTTGTGCTATGCTTCTTTAGAATGCAATTAACAAAACTGTAAGAAAATCCGTTATTTGAACGAATTGTTAAATGGATTGTGTAACAATCAACCAACTTCGTCTTGAAATCTAGAGGCTCCGTGCAGCTACTCTTGTAGAATATGTATTCTTTTTCTTCCGATTAGTAATATTATGTAGCAAACATTATTCTTAGCATGTTAACAGAATAAGAAGAAGAAAAAAAAACTTTCGTCGACCATGACCTTATTTCAATGAACTGCTTCAAGGACAGAGTCAATAACATTTTTAAAAAAAACTTTCACACAGCGCCATATGAAACGTAAATGTGTTGACCTAATTATAATTCTTGTATACTTCCTCAAATTACTAAATCTTTTGCTATGTAATTAATTTTTACTTACAATTAAATTAAATTGTGTCAGGAATTATTTTTACGGAAATCTTATAACAATTTTCGTTTACTTATAATACACTAAAAGTTTTTTTTTGAAAACCAAACTTGAATAATTTTGGAACTCAACTTTTTTATAATCTTTACTGTTTAACGTTTCAAACGAAAATGAACCTAAATTCCATTCATTTCTCTTCTCTTCTCCATTTCCAGCTTCTTAATTTCTTTTTTCTTCCACCACTTTTCTTTCACTAGCCGATTGATTCACGGTACTTGTATTTCTCATAACGTGTGTTTTGTTACTTATAAAACACATGTTCATTCATACAAGAAAAAAAAAATATTGCAAAAAAATTTAGAAGCTGAATAAGATTAAAGTGTTTATAGAATAAGTGGTTATTATTCCACGCTTATACTTTTGTTTATATGTTTATACAAAACGGAATTAAAATGAATATATACGAAAAATTTGGACAATTTGATTACAGCTAATTGCAAAAAAAAAATTACAACATACAATGGAATGCATTCGAATTAAAGTCTTTATCAATTACACGGATAGTTGTCACATCCACTCAGTGTTTCTCTCAAGATGAATGAAATAATAAATCAACATCTAAGAGATGACAACAACAAGATAACAAACCTGAGACGAAATTACTACATCTGTGGAGACTTCAATGCAAAACACCGTTTGCAACTTTTAGACGTAGTCCTCGATGGACGGTATTTTCGCTTCTATATGAAGATCGATGATCCTTTCATATTTTGTTTTGTTGAGAACAATTCTCAAAAATTTGTTTTGCAGTACTTGAAATTTTTGATGGTGGGTTCTTTTTCATGCTTCAAAATGCTCGACAACCATATGTGAATATTGGTCTGATGGTCGAGTTTTTGAAAATCACATACTTCCAATGCGGCTTTAATGTTGTTACTTGGAAGTTGCCTGGAGTTGTCTGTTTGTTGAGGTTGATCTTCCATTTGTTCATGTATTGTTGAACTTTTCTTCCTGTGTGCTGTGTCACAATATCGGCCGAGTTCTCTGCAGAATGATACAAAGCTGTATCATCTGCGAAAAGAACCATATTGTTGGTTGTCTTTCTTTCAACATCATACGTGAAGATGTTGTTGAGAGTTGGTGAAAGCACTGTTCGCTCCATTCCGAAATTTATTACTTAAATTTCTGAGAACTGACCTTTAATAAAAACTGCGATAGATCTTTCACTGGGAAAAGATCTTCCAGTTTTTTTAAGTGGCAGTGGAAATCTCAGCTTGAGCATTTTGTACAAGAGTTCGTTATGTCACACTCTGTCAAATGCTTTTTCTGATTTGATCACAAGCTGTTGAGATGTTGATCTTCTTCCGGAGCGGAAGCCAAAATGCTGTCTTGGGATGATGTTGTTATTATCCTCAAGACGGTCGTTGATTCTGTTTCCAAACTTTGGGGAAGTGATTGAGTTTGAGACACGAATTGATGATGAAATTTTACTATTCGAAACATTTTACATGAATATTTTTTATAAGCATGTTATTGACTTTATCTAGTATCGGAGCTTTGGGATATTTCAGATTGCTAATGAGTGATCACTGCGAAGTGCATTTTGAAGTTTAGACATCAAAAATTGAAAGAACTGAGAATACAGTCTACAGATATGACTAGCCCTAATTGGCAAAGAGCACAGGAAGAGCACACTCTAATTTTTGCTGAGTGTACTCTAAAAAGTATGGTCTTTCATACAAAAGTTTGTGCCACTACTTTACGCCTAAAAGTGTACTCACCTGAGCGACCTCACTCAGTTATACTTTGAGCACACTCTTGAAATAAAACATTTTTTTGTGTGTCATGTCACATGTGACACACTTTATGCTCAATTAAGCACATAAAACATATGCTCAAATGAGCATACTTAGTTTGACATACTTTTAATAAACTCATAAAAGTACATATTAATCTGACTATTGAAAGTAAAAATTGCTAGGAACTAGTGTATCGGGTAGAAACCCAAGTTATCCATAAGTTTGAATTTATGAAGCTAGTGAATCAGCTGAGCTTCGCTCAGCATAAATTTGAAGGTATGAAGCTAGCGCGTCAGCTGAGCTTCGCTCAGCATATGTTTGAAGATTTAAAGCTTAACGAACATTCTTTGAAAGATTTTTAAATTTTTTTTTTCATCCAAAGTTTAATTTTATAAAAATCACAGTGAACTTTTGTTTTAAATAATTCGTAAGAAAGGAAATTTTTTTGCTTTTTCTGAAGCAACGGCTGTTCCTAGTTTGCCTAAAACCAATACAGCTCTTCTATAGAGCAACACGGATCAAATGTAAAAAACTAGAAGTCTCTACGATGTCTCGTTATTGAGATTTATTGCTGATTAACTTGCTTGCTTGTTTGCTTACAGAAAGCGTATTTTGCGATTTTCTCAGCAATGCCGCAACCAATTTGAAATCTGTTTTTTGCGAAAGATGTGAAATTCCAGGCACAAACTTTTCATCTCTGAACCTTTTAAGCTATCTTGCTCCATATCCTCACAAAATTCAAAAAACTGATTTTTCAATCTGAACAAAACCAATAAATTCACACGTGAAAACCCAAAAATGTTTACTGTGATGAAATTTCCAAGTACTCCACAAACGAAATTGAAAAAGTCAAATTTAAAGGAACTGAAGCATCCAAGTAAAAATTTTTAGATGTCAAAAGGTCTTAAATCATGATTCTCATCAATTTCAATCAAAATGTTGGTCATAAACTGCATCGGAAGGAAGTATTGCAAAAATTTCATTTTTCGTCAATTTTTTTTCCAATACAAAAGTAAAGTACTGAATCATACAAACGATTTCAAACTGATATTTATAAACTTTTTTTTTAAATTAAACCTAGAGATTCTTGTAAGTAAATATTTGTTAAGTGTGAGAATTTAAGTATAATCCAATTGGATGTGACATGTAAAAAAGACGTGCTTAGAGTATATTTGAGAGTGCACTCAGAAAGTGTACTCAGATGAGCATAATGTTTCTTACATAAACTTATTACAAAGACGTGATCGAGTACATTTGAGAGTGCACTCAGAAAGTGTCCTCAGATGAGCATAATGTTTCTTACATAAACTTATTACAAAGACATGCTCAGAGTACATTTGAGAGTGCACTCAGAAAGTGTTCTCAGATGAGCATAATGTTTCTTACATAAACTTATTACAAAGACGTGCTCAGAGTGCATTTGAGAGTGCACTCAGAAAGTGTACTCATATGAGCATAACGTATTTAATTGTGAATTATCAGAAAGATATGCTCTTGAGTACACGAGAGTATACTGTCTTTGAAATTACACTCACATTTGTCATACTCACAATGTGAGAGAGGACATACTCAATAAGTATACTCAAGAGAGCACATAAAAAAAATTTTTTGTATCATGTTGATGTACTTAGAGTATGTTAGAGAGCGTACTCAATGAATGTACTCAAGTGAGTATACTACGTTTTTGTACTCATTATGTACTCATGAGAGTATGTTCATTTGAGCACATAAATTTCTATAATTGAGTATGCTCTCGCATGTGCTCAAATTTGTGAGCATGCTCTTTACCTATAGGTACAAAAATTAAAACAGGAAAAAGTTTTACACACAAATTCACGCAGCATTGAACACAGTGAAAGGATTACACACTAAAACTAAGTTTTCACAAAAATATTATAAATTTTATGAATTATTTCTAGAAATGGAACAATTTTTGGAAGTCAGTAACGAGTTGAAAGTTTTTCGAGTATTTTACTTTATTTAAATAGCTTTAGTAAAAAAAATAGTTTTGAATGCGTGATTAAGGGATCTATTTAACATAAGCTCTCAAAGTATCTTATAAAATCTATGTGAAAATAGATAGAAAAATTAAATTTTTTGGGTTACTGACTTCCACTTTATCAGAGGCCGAACCCCATCAATTGGTGTGATAATGAGTGGCTATTATTTGAAATTTCTCTCAAAAGTGATTCTGTTGAAAGCATTAAATTTGACATAAATGTTGCATTTTTTACATCTTTACTTGTCGCTGTCAATTGGAAGACATCAAAAATTTCATCAATTAATGAACATATTAATGAAACGATAATCTTTTTTTTTCCTCTCAAAAAAAAAAATTTTCTTTTCGTAGCAACTTTTCCTTTCTTCGCTTTTGGAGCTTTCATACAATGGCAAAAAATTATTATATTCATAGATTTTTTCGATTTTTTTCAATAAAAATCACACTTTAATAAGTTTTGAAATAGAGAAATTAAATTTTCTGTGATAAAGAGAAATAATTAAATGATAGATAAATATCGAGGTCACCAAAAGCATAAAAAAAGAAGAAGAAAATCTCACTCTCATCATCGTTCTTCTTTGTGCTGCCATTAAGTAAAATCATTAAAAGGGCAAAGTTTTTTTATTAAAAATATTAATTTCTATCATTTTTGTAGAGCATACATATTTTTGTAAAATGCGGAACAAAATATATTCATTAAAATTGCAAAATTTGATTCGAATATGATCAATAATTTAAAAGTATAATAACCCCCCAAACCCTCTTCCTTTAAAGCAAAAAATGAAATTAAAAATTATATTTTCGCAAAACTTTTCTCCAATGATTCCAATGACATTCAAGAATAAAGTCTATTAATTTGCGGAAGGAAGTCACTGCTGATCACAGTTTGGAATTTTGTATTGATTCTCGTTGATCGCTCGCTGGCATTTTTCATTGATGTAGATACATTTTGGAGAGTTAACTATAATTATTATCATGATAATTAGAAATATATATGAATATATAAACTTGACACCCACCTGTGTATTAATTAAAGAGTTATCAGTATCCATAATTTTTTTGGAAATTGGAGCAATTCGTTCCTGAATAAAATTCTTTACCGTAATTGTTGAAAGCTCATCTGTTTTAGGTGGAAAATAATAAAATTAACCAACTGGTTGAATCAAATGATTAAATCTGCATACTTATTCTTTTCCTTAGTGGATCAACATGTAATGGTGAAAAACTTTCTGTTATTTCTGTCCCAAGCGGTGTATTAAGCAAATCTTCTGCTTCCGATAATCCTTCAACTACTTTTCCTTTGATTATAATATCATGCGAACTATTCACAGCTACATTTGGACATTCTAAATTAGTTTCGTTTCCAATCTTGATAAAATTTATAATTTATAAAAAATTTCAAGTGCAATTTTTTTAGAAAAAAAGCTACAAACCTTTGCGTAAGAAGAGTTGAAAACATACTGTTCATCTTCAGAATCTGTTTCTGGTGCTTCTCCAGACGTAGTCATTATTTATTACCGAACTGTCTTAAAATTATTATTTTATTAAGGACAACGCATATGTATGTAAACAAGGGGTTATTGACTTTTTTGCATCTTTAAGCGCTTACAAATTTTGAGTTTCAGTGCTTTCCAAACTTTATTCTATAAATATTTTTAAAGTCAGTCTTTAAAGAATTTTTCAATAGATAGTAAACATCTAAATTTAGTGATTTGTATGTAATTTATTACATCCCAAGAATCACTTTAAGCTTTTAACTGTGTAATTGACTTGAAAAAAAGCTTATAAACCATACAGAATAATCAAAATGAGTGATGGTACGAATTATTGGAACCAAATTTGAATAAGTGATAAAACTTTAGTTAAACTCGTTTTGAAACTTAATCATGTCTCTTATTTGATTATTATATTCACGCATAGTTGAAGACCATCATGTTCACTTTAACGTAATGAATGACGATTTCCAATCCGATCACACCCACCCAACAATTCAAAAAGGTCCTCATGGCAGAATAAATGTTCATCTAGGGTTTTTGCAAATCAAGCATCGATATCGCATAGAATTAAATATTCCGGTTGATATATTAGAGCATTACTGCCACAAAAATCATAAATTAATTCTCAAGGTCGAAGAAAACTCGGTGCCAAACATTCATTGCAAGCTTCTGTCATTCAAAGGCAAAGAAACAGATCAATCTCAAATTTACGAAGCTGAATTTGAGTTCTTTGCTCATAAAGAGAAACTTTTGAAGGAGGAGATAAAATTGATAACTAGTGATGAAAAGACTGTCAAATTTTTGTTTCACGCAAGAGTTTTAGGAAGAGGAAAAGGAACACCAATGCTCAAAGAAGGAATTCACTTGTTAGGCATCGAAGATGACGAAGAATCTGGTAATTTGATGTTTGTAGAATATTAATTTATCAAAGTTAAAAAAATTTACTCAAAAAGTTTTTCGACCATTTGAACAAAATTGGACATAATCGAGTATTTTCCTTTGAATAATTCACTTTTCTTATTTTAAAATTGTTTAGATGCTTCTGACTGGCAAGGCTTTTCACGGAAGGAGGCAAACTAATTTTAGGCATAATACTTTGAATATTATTTCACTACGGCTAAAGTGAAATGTGTTCGACAAAAAACACTTAATCTACAAAGCAAAACAGAAATAAAAGATAAAAAAAAAATTAAAATAAATTTGTCGCCTCTTAAAAATCTGACAAGTTTGTCCAAGTGCTTATTTCACATAACAATAAGCATTATTAATATACATAAAACAAACACTGTATTCATTTTTTTTTTAATGAAATTCCTACCAAATAGATTTAAGCAATAAGTTGTCACACCTATTCTGAAATTTTGTCTTATCATTTTTCAATTGAGATTGTCATTTTTGTATTCCTACCTATAAATATATGTATCAAGCGTTATGCGATTTTAATGACTTAAACGAAGAACGAACAAAAAATATGAAATAAAATTGCGTCATCAAATGTAATACAATGTAATATTTTATAATACACACTTTCTATTTACTTCCTTCTCCTAACAACATGTGACTTTGTTTTGATGAAGTTTGAAAATAGCTGATCAACTTATTACGCATTTAAATAAATCTCTAGATACAAGTGTCTGTTATTACATAAATATAAAGCAAAATACAAAAAGTAATACTAAAAACTACGCTAAATAGAATATAACATTCATTAATATTCTTCGCTATTTAAAATATGAAATCGAATAGAAGAAAAACTTCATTTTAAAAAATAAAAGATTTTCATTCAATCAACGTTAAAATTCTTCTCCAATTTTTATATCATCATGTTAATGTCAAGTAAAATGAAAAGCTATTTTCGTTGTTTTAGAGAGAGAAAAAAAAAACAAGTTGAAACCTTGATACTTAGTATATAATAATTATATACTATAGAATTCTATATAACATAAGAAAAATAATTCAATTATATACTTAACTCATTTAAGTTCATTGCTATCATATTAAATATTAACTACACAGAATGTAAAGCAATTAAAAAATTTCTCTTATTTTTCCGTATAATGAATTAAATTTTTAAATAACAGAATTCAAAAAATTCATCCCATAAAACTCTTTTTTTTTATTAATTTTTTTTTAAATTTAAAAGTATTCTTGTTATGCAAATTTCCGAATGTGGTTTAGAATATTTATTTTATAAAACATTACCATCATTTTGCTAATTAATCTATCTCAAAAGCATAGTATTTTTCATTAAGAACATGAAATCCTTGCTTGAATAGATCATTGGAAAGTTAATTTTGTTTAATAAATAGATTTCGATGAAAGATTGAATTTTTTCGTGCCTTATAATAGTATGGCGCCACAAAAATTAATATACTTTTCTAATTATGTATTTTTTCATTCCCTATCAGGAATCAATTGCATTAAATGTGGATTACATTTATAAACCATTCATCTATTAATTTTTGTGAATTACGTGATTGTTTTTCTTGTATGCTTGAAATTGTTGATAAAATTTTTAATAAACATTAATTGTGTAATAAAGTATATTTTTAAAAAAATAGTAACATTTTTTATTCAACCAAAATATTTTAAACAGTTTTAAACAAGGCTATTTAGGTTTGTTTGTATTTAGGCTTGTTATCAGGGTTTAAATTTGATTACTATTTTGTAAATAACCTTACTTCACACCTGACACCCCCTCCTTCTCAACACTTCCCAAATTATTGGATTTACTTCATCGATCAGCTGTGCTGTCGCATTAGTTTGTAAACTAGAATTTTTCCATTGAAAGTCGTATAACGTATTTTTTGTAATTCAAACTTATAACGGCTTTTTGAAATTTAAAACTATTGAAAGTTGTACAAATGTTATGTAATAATAAGCTAAGCCTTAAAGAGTAGAAAATTTAATTTAATTGTACTATAATTAAGCATTTTTAAGTTTCCAAAATGCTTGAATATTTTATTGTCATCGAAAAGATAAGTGCATGCAAAATTTCAGCTCGATTGGAGCAGTAGAAGTGGTCGAAAAATTGATCGCAAGATTTGACCTCGACAAACAGATAAACAGATAAGAAAGCAAGTTAAGAAAACGTGGTAATAATAAAATGGCTGTGAAAGTATGAATTAAGTTAAATGTATGTGAAAAAATGTTGGAACTAGCGAGTTCCTTCTCAAGATTCAGCTTACTGGATCTATGTTATTGAATGCATACTTTACTTGTATCATAATGGAAATATGTTTTTGGTTCCAGCATTGATTTTTTTTCTTGCTGTATACTTACTGGATCTTGGTTCCAACGATAGCACAATTTCAATTTCAATTTTAGTGGACTGGATTTAATTTTTAATGACAAATTAAGTTATTTCCCAATTTTTCACAATGATCTCTCAATTTCAACAAATTGTCAAAGCCCACTAAGAAATTTTTCTTATTTCTTAATTATAAAAAAATTGAAATTGAAATTGTCAAAGCCCACTTCACAATGATTCAGAATCCACAATGATTCAGAATCGGAAAAAATGTTCAAAAATTTCATGTTAATTAAACTTTGTCTTTTAAATGCCAGATTAAAGATCTTAACTTGAGGCAAATATCTCGTCCGAATTTGATGTCTAACTCCAGAAACCATTAATTTAATCTCACCCAAAATTTGTTTACAATTTGTGTATGAAAAAAAAAAAATATGATTTTTTCTACTTTAAGTTGTTATTTGGATGTCTTGGAAGCAGTTGCTAGCTAATTTAAGCTTAGCTTTACATATAAAAACAACAAACTCAATAGAAATCTGCTTATTAAGCCTTAAAAATGAATTGAAATCTGAGTATTTTTACACAACTTAAACTATTCATAAGTTAAAAAGTCTTCCAAAGACCTCTCTGAAACCTATACAAATCAATTAATTTGCGATCAAAGTTTACATCAATTTTCATACAAAATTTGATCATGCACAATATTTTTTGATAAACTTTTACAAAGTTTTGGTAAAAAATCATGTTTATCCTTTATATTAAGGACTGATTTTTTGAGCAATGAACGAAAACATTATCTAGAAGATGCTAAAAGATTCAAATCAAGAGAAATTAACAAAAACTTTCAATTTTCTAATGTGTTGGAAAAATATTGTGCACAAGGAATTTTTGAACATTTTTTCCGAATCTGAATCATTGTGCACTTAGAACTTTTTCTCAAATTTTACTGGATCATGGTTTCAAGTTTAAGACATGATTAAAACTTTACTGGATCTTTGTAATTTGCTGCAAACATGATTGAAACTTTACTGGTGTAAAATAATGATCTCAGTAATCCGAGAAAAACAATAAATCAGTTGAATATCTCGAACAAAAACATAAAGACGTGTTTCATTGAAAAATCAAAAATAAAACATGGCGCAGTCGTATTTAAGTATTGAAAAGTTCAATTTTGAAGCTTCGGCGTTAGAAATTGAATGGAAACGATTTTCAAAAGAATTCAACTCATATTTGGTAATCAACCAACTTGATGAGAAATCCGACAGCATCAAACTCAATTTATTGACACTATTGATGGGATATAAGTCAGTGGATATCATCAAGAATCTGCAATTAACAGATCCTGAGAAGCAGAACTATGAAAAAGTGTTTGAGGCTCTCGAGAATCATTTTTCACCGTTATCAAATTTTTTAATTGAACGAATGAAATTACGTGGTCGAATTCAACAAGAAGGCGAATCTGTCGACAAGTTCATTAGTGACGTTCAAACCCAAGCCGATAGCTGTGCATTTAATGAGTTCAAAGAAGAAGCCATTCGTGATCAAATAATTTTCGGTCTGCATAACAACAATTTGCGAGAAAAGCTCATTTTATCTGAAGAAAAGTCATTACGTACGTTGATTAGCAAAATCAAAATTTTCTACTACAATCAACAACAATTGAATCAACTAGCATCAGACAGTGTTAAAGCGAATCAAATAGCAGCAGTTGACCAACGTGTTCTTCACAAACCGACGTCATATAAACGTGAAAGTTCTCAAATTAAGAGCAAAAAATTTGAGAATTCAATAAGCAAAAAGAAGAAGGAGAAGGTCTGTGCAGATGATGAACGCAAAAGCAGTGAGTCTAATGTAGTAATCAATTGTGATGAACTAAAAGAACATGCAATAGACAATGTTTGGAGTAAAAAATTACTCGTGCATGATAAAATGATCAATTTTAAGTTGGATACTGGATCGCAGGTTAATACTTTAAGCATAGATATGTTCAAAAGTTTAGGAAAGAAATTTAAGATTGAGAAAAGTAATTTAAAATTACAAGGATATTTTGGTGAAATCAATCACCCTTTAGGGAAGACGATTCTTCCAATTAATTTCAATAATAATGTTTACCTTGAAGAATTCATAATCATTGATAAACATACGGTACCTTTATTAGGTTTAGAGACATGTGTAAGTCTAAAACTTATATCTCGTATAGATTCGTTGCAATTGAATCAAATGTTGTGTTCAGAACAGCAAAAGAATAAGTTTGTAGATTTTTATAAAAAAGCTTTTACAGGTCTAGGCAAGTTTAATAGACCTCTTAAATTGAAATTAAAGGATAATGCAATTCCGGTGGCAAATCAGAATCGTCGAATTCCATTCAAGTTGAAGAATAAGCTTCAGAATAAATTAAATGAAATGGAAAAGATAGGAATTATTTCACGTGTCAATGAACAACGTGAATGGATTAATAGTATAGTAATTGTTGAAAAAGGAGACAAAATTAGAATTTGTATTGATCCAAAACATTTGAATCAAGCATTAAATAAGTTTCATTTTCCGATTCCATCCCTTGATGAATTAAAGCAAGATTTGAAAGATTCTCAATACTTTACAGTTTTAGACCTCAAGGATGGTTTTTGGCACATAGAGTTGGACGAAGAATCCAAAAAATTTTGCACGTTTAGTTCTCCTTTTGGCTTGTGGAAATTTAATAGAATGCCTTTTGGTATAAACATTGCATCAGAAATCTTTCAAAAGTACATGACGGATACTTTTGGCGATTTACCTGGAGTCAAATTTTATATTGACGATATTATTGTTACTGGTAAAACGCTCAGAGAACATGATGAGAATTTAGGAAGATTAATGGTCAGGGAATTAAAGTCTGGTGTGAAATTCAATCAGAAGAAATTACAATTCACACAAAGCTCAGTAAAATTCTTTGGCCATATCTTTTCTAAGAATAAAGTAGATGTTGATCCAGAAAGGATTTCAGCAATTAATAGTATTCCAAATCCTAAAAATCTGGAAGACGTACAAAAGTTTTTAGGAATAGTTAATTATATAAGGGACTTCATTCCCAATTTACCTTCTTTACCAGTCAATATACG